AAATTTGTTGCGAAAATGTGTCGCTGCTGGTAAAATAGATGAATTAAAGAACTACTCGCCAGCTAAAATATGACCTTATACAGATATCCTGATTAAAAAATTATGTGAAAAAGTACGAATTCTGGAATAAACAACTAAGTTGTAAAAAAATACATAACACTGACGATGTCAAATCACGTACTGATCACGTGATAATGCTTTGCCCACATCCGCAATGCGCCTTTGCCAGGGAAGGAAACCAATTCACACCTAATACAATGACCGTTTCTAGACCGGGGATAGAGGGACTGTGGTTTACTTGACAACTATGAAAAATATTGAACTATTGAATTAATTGTAAGTTTTGTGTAGATATAACCATTCACTGAAAATTGAAACAGGACACCATACTCAGTTGCCAGCAACTGAAAGGGTATGTCTTCTATCATAGACCCTCAACCTGTTGAGGGTCTATGCTTCTATGTAACACAAATCAGATCAATGATGAACAACATTTTGTAATGTGTTGCCCTGTCTATGCCCAACACATAAACATTCTGTTTATGGAAGCAAGGAAAATATCCACGAATTTAAAAATAATCAAAATAAACCTTGGCGACAAATTCAGATACATCTTGAGCAATAAATCCCTGACAATTAATCTGTTTTGAATCTTGACTGCAACACCTAAACATTGATGTCACCTAATGACTTTCCAAATTATTAGATTTTATGTCACTTTCATTTTCAATTGTTTTTTTTCCTTTGTGTATGTTTTTTTTTTGTCATGTCACTTTTCGTTGTTTGCGTGTGTAATTGTAATGTTAAAGGGGAACCTTCCAAGCCCAGGGATTGCACCAAAGAATCATGGGACACTATTGTTTATGTTGTTTACAAAGTTAATCTATCTTTTGTTATCCATTGTAATTTTAATCCAGAAAGTAAATTAGTTGTGAGATTAGGCTTAACTGGAAGTGCCCCTTTAAGTGATTAAATAAATAAATAAATAAACAAACAAGATCGTAAGTCAATGCGACGAAAGTGTATTGGGACAGATCGACTTGTGAGACGAATGTGAATTAGGACTCAAACAATTAATTGGTTGTCTGAGATTAGAACGAATTTAATGTGAAATCATTTTCGCTCTATCTCCAAGACAACCAATTTATCATGGAGGTAAAATTTATTGACTTCGGAAACCAACCTAAAACCAACCACACGAAAGAATAGTGTAGAACATAGTGACTTACCTGATTCAAATTAACATTCTGTGTAAGCACATGAATCTAAGTATCGCAGTCTTTCTTTTACAAGTTGTTTCTAAATAAATCTTATACGGGTTTAAGTTTCCAGGTCCAGCACGGCACGTCAAAATATCTTCAAAGCAGCACAACCTACCCGGAAATAAACACCCTATCTCCATGAACATTATCACGTTAGTGGCGCCCTCGTTGACAGTATATGTGAACTCTTTTGTTTGCGTAATAGCAAATTCAAAATTTCTGATAATACTTCGGACCTTGAAAATGTTTGCCTAAATTTATACAAAAAATAAAATCGTCTTCATTAACTGACTGTTCAAAA